CTCCACATTTAACACAGAAACACACATTTAGGACATAAACTCACACAGGCCTGGACCCCTTGCTTAAACAGAGCTTTAAAAAAATAACAAAAAATGTTTGACAGGCCCCTTTAATTTCCCATTTTTTTTTCTTTTTCAGACGAGGCTTCACACCCAGTCATTCACACTACGTCCCCAGCCTTTCGGCGGGATTACGTCAGCCCTCTGGGCCCCCAAAAAGAGCTACAACCGGTTACTTATCTGGGCAAAGTAGCAGAAATCCTAGGCTGAACGGCCTTCGTACGACCGCGCCCTAGCCGCAGCTAACAGGATGACAAAGGACGTCTCCTTGCCGATCCTTCAATTTAACCACGGTGGTGCGGTTAACCTCACTTAACCAGAGATGCGCATCTCAACACTTTAACTTCAAAGTACGTACTTACACAAAACCACCAGAGACCACACACTTTATCTCTGTGGCGAGCGACACTGTCATAAAAATAACTAATAAAATAGCTTAGCTTAGCAAGGGTTGGACACACTAAGAACAAAACAAAGCCAGACTCCAGTGGTAAAACTCCACAGGAAGTGAGAGGTAGAGAAAAAAAAGATGTAAACCAGATGTCTTGCAACACAGCTACCCCCACCACGCTATAAATCAGTTTGGACAAGACAAAGAACTGTTTTGAACCACACCCCTCTTTCAAATCTTTGAACGGCCAGTGTTCAAATTTCCACTAAATCAAGCTTTTAAACACAGACAAACAACCAACACAACAACAACAGACGACAACACACAAAAAACTTAAGAAAAAATTTAAGAAACATAAACTGGATTCCTTTTCTCTATTTTTTTCCTTTCTCTATGTTTTTTCTCCTTCAAAAACTAGCCAGACACATTTAAACTTCTATTTCAATACTGAGAGACGTTTTTATTCTCACTCTAAACTGCTTTTTACTCTGTAGCTGCACATCTAACCCTTAAATTTAATATTCTCTACACAAATGTGGCATTTTTCGCCCTCCATATATCAGCTTCTACTTCACCTCAGCATAAAACACTGTTTATCTCTCGTAAAAATTGAATCTGACGGAATTACATGCTTTTACCGATCCCGGAGCAGAAAACACCACAGCTTGACTATTTAAAACATAAAAGGAACAGTTTTATTGTACTTTAAGCTGGTTTACGACATCTGCCTTCACGGCAGAGCATTCTTTCGCTGCGCCCAGAGCATGTGCTGCCCTGCCCCCCTTTCTCTACAGCTGCAACTCTTTGTTCTCCACGGAGCTACTTAATTCGCGGTAGCTGCTATTTTTAACCCCAATAAAAACACAGATACACCAAAAACACAAATATAAACGCTAGCATGACAAAGAAATTTGATTCTAGAAACGAAAAAGACACAGAAACTATTTGAAACACTTCACGTATGTTTACGCTCCCCCCTTACAGGTTCACAGCTGCATTTTACAACCACGAAGCAGATACACGAAGAACACGGCCAAATGAACGTCTTTTTCTGTAAGTTCGTGAATAGAAAATGCAAAACAGACCTAAATTCGTGGCGCCATTCTGTAGTGTCTCTGCCNCCCCCCCCCAGCCCAATTTCCTAGGGGAAACACTGAATCTCCTCACCTGTTGCATCTGTCTGCTCCTCTGTCCTCTGCTCCTGTCCAACTAACTTAAGCTAAAGCTAGCATATAGGGTTGCAACTAACGATTATTTTAATAATCAATTAATCGGTTGATTAATTGTTTATAATATGATATAATCGGTGATATAATCGGTTTTTTGATTAATCGATTAATTGGCCAAATCATTAAATCGCTTAATTACATGAGTATGAGTAGATATAATTTAAGTTAAGTCCTTAAGGATGCAAGTTATTGATAATGAATTAATCTGAAGTTGATTTATCTTTTGTCACTGGCCAAACAAATTTTCATTTATATCCAATCAGTCTGTAGATGTCCCTTCCCCTTGGTTGTCAATCAAACAGTTTAGGGCTCAGTATGGTTGTTCAGGGTTTGTTTTCGCACACACCTTTCATAGCCCTTTGACACACATTGTGCAGAGCTCCTGGGAAACCCCTCCCGCTGCGGTATATGTCACTGCACGGGGTTTCTTCCCGCTGGAGTCTACATGTTTTTTTTGTGCAAAGCAAGCTTATTTAAAGGAACAGTGTGTAGGATTTTGTCTATTCTTTTAGCCGAAATTGAGATAATCACTAATGACAATAATAAAAATCATGTATAATCATTGCAGACAAGGGCTTGTTTTATTATTTTTACCTTATAAAAAGCTGTTTATATCTCCTTGGTTGCGTGTTTCCACTACAGGCAGCCTCCATCTTGCACCACCATCTTGTCTACGAAGGCTCGTGAAGGACAAACTGCGGTGGCGTCGTCAAAAACGGTTTTATTTGTAATACTATAAATGTAAAAATTGCTGTCTGTCATTAGCTACGTTTACATGGACAAAAGTAATCGGATTAAACAGCTGTTCGGAATAAAAATGTGTCATGTAAACAGCCCGTTCCGATTATTCTGATCCGATTAAGCTCGATCCGAATGAATTTTTAATCTGAATGAAAAGGGTGGGTTGTGCCGATTGATAATCAGAATGAGGTTCATGTAAACACTTAATCGGATCATCTTATTCTGATTGTAGTGTAGTGTCTCTGCCTGGTTCGTTTCTGCTCGGTTCGGCTGGGCTTTGTCAGCTGCTGAGACCCTTCTCTCTGTTTCTCTGCTTCTCTGCTGTCGGTGGCTCAGATCCTCCCGTCTGCTGCTGCCTTTGTGGCTGGGCCGGCTGGTTCGGCTGGCTGCTGGCTCCTGGGTCGAATGTCAATAAAACTCTAGGCTAACATTTAAATAAAGAAAAGACTATTTCTTCAGTTCTGGACATGTTTATTCACGAGAGAAATGAAAAGCGTCCACACAGCTAAGATGTTACTCTAACTCCTCTGACCCAAGAAGCGTGCGCGTGCCTTCATGCGCGCTCCGGTCCGACATGCTCGTTCACGCCTTAAAGGGCCATACATGAAAATTCACCACAGTAGAAAACTGACCTGTGTGCGCATGTCTGCTGACTTTCATTGACCCGGTGGGACAGCAGCACTCCAGCTGCGCAGCACCGTTCAGAACCTTTCATCCTCGCTCTCTTAACAGATGAAAAAGGAGGCAAACAGCAGACGTTGCTTCGCAAAAAATAAAAATAAAAAGCACATATTGCTTCATCTGCAGGCTGCAGCTCAACCGAGGAGTAACGGCGTCTCTACCGTTATTAAAAGCTGACACGGGTCCGTCCTGAGCGCACAGAGGAGCTTTGTTTACGGTTGTAACATGGAAGTAGAGCTGAACGTTTACAACACTGCGCATGTCCGGACTTTTATTCTGAATAAAACACCAGTGCATGTAAACACTTTTCATGATCGGATTGTGTCCATGTAAACAGTACATTCGGATTATTTAATCTGAATACATTTCAATCCGATTAAAACATTTTGTGCATGTAAACATAGCTGGTATAATTTTACTTATTAAAGCTCATAATCTTACCACTTGAAACATCACTAGCCCTGAAGCTGCTGGTAGACATCGCGGTTGGAATTATCAAAGGTTTTTGACACCTGAGAGACACCGTAGCGTTTGGATTGTTTTAGGAAGAGGGGGGTGGGGGTGGGGGGAGGACCAGGGAGGATGATTCAACCACTAGATGTCGCTGAAAACAACAAATCCTACACACTGTGCCTTTAAATGGTTTAAGTTTAAAATTAAATGTTGCAAAAAGAAGCACTTGGACTATTTCTTTTTGTGAAAGTAGCTCTTAAGGGAAAAAACGTTGGAGACCCCTGTTGTACAATGTTGCTGGCATAGAAGCCTATGAAGTGTTTGTGTGGACCAGTATGCATTTCTTTTTTAGATGTGAAATTGTTTCAAGCCGACAACAATCCACTGTGGTCTCTGATTATCCGTTAGCATCAACAGTTTATCTAAGCTGAGGCTGATGAATGAGCTACTGTATCCACATTAATGATTTTGTCATCGAATTCCACTTCAGAATGGTCAGAATATTGCTTCTAAAGAGATCATGGATGAGATCAGTTTCAGGTTTAATCTGGTTCCTTCTACAGGTGGTGTAAGTCATGGGAAGCTTCAAGGGCCACGCTCTCCCTGGGAGCCTCTTCCTTGTGGCGGGAATCTGGTGGACTGGAAAGTACTCCCTGTTGCACGCCATCCGCAAGAACAAGAACATCGGGTCCACTCGGTTCGCCAGCAGGGCCTCGCAGCGACGCCTGGAGATCTTTGAAAACTCTGTCATACTCTTCTTCTCCTTCGTGGGTAAGCAGGTGTTTGATTAGTCCTGGAGGTGTGGTGTGTCGAGTCTGCTGAAGGTTCTTTCTGGTGCGCTCCACAGGGATGGTGGCTGAACAGTTTGTAGCAGATGGACCAAGGCTGCATTTGTATGACTTTACAGAAAAACATTGGAAGTACCTGCATAACTGGCAACATGCTACCATGTACCTGTTCTTTGGCCTGGCTGCCATCGTGTCTCTGATTGTCCATGCCGCAGAGGCAGCACCACTGGCCCTGGACAGGTTGATGCTGGGGATTGCTTTCTTTAATGAAGGTGAGCAATATTAGACCAAAGGCAAAAGCGTGGTAATGTTTTGCCAATGCCTGGTTTACACAGACTCAAAATCATAGATATAAGAGGTTTGGTCTTAACAGTGTGTGGTGTACAGCCACACAGCAAAAACACATCACACAAACAGATTTCACTCACCAACATTCCAACTTCAAACAGGAAATCTGGCAAAACTTCTCGAGATCAAACATGAGTTCAGAGTAAATAAACGGCCAAAGAGGAAGATGTAATGGTGACATTAGACCTTTTGCCAAATTATGTCATCACGCAAAGCACGCATGAAACAAACGTTTTGATTGGATGCCGAAATGCTGACTCCTCCCATATACGGAAGCGGGGGGGAAAGACCTTGTTGATGACATAGATATGAAGGCGAGTTTTAATGTTGATGCATGGTTTTGGAAAATTGTGGACAACCAATGGACAAAATCCCTGATAAGTGTGCCGCGGATCCGACTAATTGTGAGTCAACAGTCAAGGGGGGCCACCATGTCAAAAAAAACAGTCCCCGAAAAAAGGACATTGAAGTCGGCGAGAGCATGCCCAGCAGGGTAAGTTTGTTATTCTTGTCTTGTTTTCATCAATCTTTTGGCTCAGGCATCAGAGTGAAAGTTCAATTGCCAAATCTAGCTGAACTTTAGACTGATTTGGTTATTGTTACCGGTTTTAACATTGTCTATTAGCCAATAAAGCTAGCGCCAGGCCTTAGTACGAGCCATTACTATTCACAGTCATGTAAACAAAGGCATAGGATTAGCTTCAATCTCTCACATAATCGTTCATAGCGTCTTTATTATGACCCCCGCACGCGAAGGTTTTGCTAATGTATTTACTATGGAATCTATATGACCCGCAGTTTGTACAGCTTAGACTGTATTTGATGGAAATTTTGATGTGAACAAAAATTATATTTATTAAAAGCAATATATCTTACCTGTCTATTTTTTAAATAATGACAAATTCAATATGGTTGTAATGAAATTGAATAATCAGTTATTTTCAATCTATTTGATATGCTTGTAACCAGTGGTGGGCACCAGTCCGCTAAAGCGCACATCCGCTAATTGCAGATCTAAATATTTCATTTGCGCTTTAGCAGTCTTACTAATTTTTGTAATTCATAAGCAGATTTGCGCTTTCTAAAATTAAAATGCATTACCGCTAATAACTAATAATCTACGAGTATTCGTCACCTTGAACAGCTGAAGGTATGGCTTTTTATTTAAAACGGCAGTAACAACACCAACTGTTTTCATAGTAAAGATACTTCCCTAAGGATTTGTCATTTTCTTGAACAGCAGAGAGGGCTTGGTGTCAGTGACCAACACTGTGAGGAAACATAGTATTGAAACATCACCCTCTCTGGCTTATGGAGAAATAACACAGGGCTTTATCCTGTGATTAACTGTTCCGTGTGACGGTTCTGAAATTGTATATTTATATATAGTTTGGTTATGTGTGTGTGTGTGTGTGTGTGTGTGTGTGTGTG